GAGGCATCAGGCACCACTGTGGAATAAAAGCAAAAAAACCCCCCAAACTCCCAAAGACAGAAATGAAACCAGGGCCTTCAGCTGTTTCAAGAACTGTTTCATAAAGAGGATCATCCACTATGCAAGGACACCAGAACACCTCACACAGCACCACTGTCCCGAAGCCCTGAATTTGGAAACGTGGCACAATCACGAAGGTTTGGAAACTGGCCACCACCTCACACCAGAAGAAAGTGCTCTGGACAGATGGGTGACAAAATCACCAGGGTCCTCTGGGGTCTCTCCTCTCCCAGTAATTGCAATGGAGTGGCTAGATTGTCAGAAGAACAGACAAGCAGTGGCCATTTCCAAAAAATTTCGTTTAGCTCAACGAGTAGCTCAAACGACTTCCAGAAAAGATGTCCCCAGGAGTAGGATGAGAGGCAGGGCTGGCTCCCAGCTCCTGCCTGTCATAACAAGCCTTTGTGGGATCACTTGTTCCTCTTTCCATAATACAAGTGCCTTCTTCACTGACAGCTCCAGAAGACAGCTATGTCCTTGCCCACATGGGCCAGGAGACCAGGCACTAAGCAGAACATCCTTCTCATCGCAGATGGCACCACCACCTATCTGGGTATGAATCTATGAAGGGAAGCAGACCTCAGCCATAGCTCAGAATCATAGAATGATCTCAGTTGGAAGAGACCTTGAAGATCATCCAGTCCAACCATTAACCTCACACTGACCGTTCTCAACTCCACCAGATCCCTCAGCGCTGGGTCAACCCAACTCTTCAACCCCTCCAGGGATGGGGACTCCACCCCTGCCCTGGGCAGCCCATTCCAACCCCCAACAACCCCTGCTGCAAAGAAATGCTTCCTAATAGCCAGTCTGACCCTGCCCTGGCGCAGCTTGAGGCCATTCCCTCTTGTTGTGTCACTTGTTCCTTTGTTCAAGAGACTCATCCCCAGGTCTCTGCACCCTCCTTTCAGGGAGCTGTAGAGGGCGATGACGTCTCCCCTCAGCCTCCTCTTCTCCAGACTAAACACCCCCAGTTCCCTCAGCCGCTCCCCATCAGACCTGTGCTCCAGACCCTGCACCAGCTCCGTTGCCCTTCTCTGGACACACTTGAGTCACTCAATATCCTTTTTGCAGTGAGGGGCCCAAAACTCAACACAGAAAAACAAACAAAAACAAAACTGAACTTCCCAACGGAAGGGAAGAGGGAGGATCCAGGAGCAAGGGAATGCTGCTGCTCACAGCCCTCAGAAAGGCACCCTGCTAAGGGGAACAAAACACCACCCAAGATGCCACAACTGCTTGGAATGGACAGAGCAACGCTGCCAGCACACATGGCCAGCAGCATCAGGCAGCACTTCTTGACACCCAAACCCGGGTGCCATTAGGACATAGTGGTGTACAGGCTCCCAGGGGCTCCTCCTGGCCACGCACTCAAGATGGAAATGCCAGTCCTGCTGCTCCCACAAGCAGTAAGTACTGAGAAGAAGAAGAGATCCTTCTGTCCCGAAGTGTTTGTGTCTTGCCTGTGTGCACCAACACCTAGCTGTAGTATGAAGCAAACAAAAGCTCCTAATTATATTATTTGTCTGGATTCTTTCCATCTCATCACCATGTTAAATTCTGTGTTCCCCAACCCTTCCTTGAGATCCTTCTCCCTGTGCCAGTTCCTGCTCTCTTACTTGCAAAGGCAAGTAAGAAACCTTGGCGAGAGCCCCATAGCCTCAGGTAGAAAAAGACAGAACACAGCACTACGCTGAAAAGACCTTGTCACTCGTTCATCCTTCCTGACAGTGTACAGCCTGTCCATCTCCTCCCAGAGCTGCCCCACTGGATATCTCAGTGCCAGGAGCAGAGGACATCTCCCAGGAGAGAGGGCACCATCCCCAGCCCCATGAGAGGCTCCAGCACTTCTGCATCTCAGCCCTGGAGAGAAGCACCCAGCAGGACTCTGGAACTGCCTGCTCCAGCTCAATCTTGTGTTAGGGACAGCTGCTCCAGCTTGTGGGGGAAACCACAATCTTTTGTGTGTAACCACCACTCCAACGCACTCCTGAGCAGCGATTCCGGGCTCTTGTGCATACCTGCTGATACCTGTCGGGTCACTGCACTCACTACTGGACGTGTGTCCTCTCGCATGGACAGCAAGCCTATACGCACCAGAGTGTATGGGCTGCTCTGCCCAGGTCCACATCAGAAACACCAGCAATCAGTGAATTGTGTCCCTCAAAGCCAGTTGGATTTTCTTAGAGGACAGTGGGAAGCAGTTCCAGAACCTCATTCCTGAGCCCAAGTGAGAATGGGGAGATATTTCACAGCATTTTATGATCACTCCTCAGTTCCATTACTTCACACTCTATTTTTTGGAGAAGTGCTTTTAGTAATGCAAGAGAGATGTGTAAACATCATGGCAGAGATTACTGCAGCAGGTCACTGGGAACCACAAGGGTTTGTGGTTGAGCCACAGAAGACCCACAGAACAGAAATTAACTTTGATCCTCGTTGCGGCATCCAGGTTTGCTGAGCAGAAGAGGGACACAGTGTCAGGCAGGCACAGAGCATGTACAGGAGAGGGAGGACAGAGGGAGGAACTCCAGAAGGACATGGCCTATCATCACTGCTGACACTGCTACAACCCAAGCAATCAATAAACATTTCTTGCTTAGAAAGGCCTCACAGTTAGCTGCAATTTCCTGTTAGCTGCATTATTTCCCTTTAACAGCTCTGGTTTCCCACCTGAGGTCTTCCCTACCTAGGTCCCTCTGGCAAAGCTCCAGGAGCACAGCAAGGTACCAAGAGGAAAGGTCCTGCCTCAGAGCCAAGGAGCCAGCATCCACCTCTACAGAGACGTCGGCTGCAAACCAGCCTGAAAGATAATCTGCAGGAAGGAAAGTAGGGAGGTTTCTGAGCAAACACCTCATGACATACAGTTAGAAACCTCTTCTGATGCCTAACTTTGCTTCCCCATGGCCAGTCTTAAACTCACCCCTTTTGTTTTAGCACCTTCTTTTCTTAAAAAGTTCTTTCCTTTCACACCTGTGTGTTTTGAAGATCAGGTCTGGACCATTTCAGCCTTCATTTTCCTCAGCTAAACAAGCCAAGTGATTAACTTCCTCTTGTGTTAGGATCTCTTTTCCCTCCCACCTGCTTTTTGCTGTTTCTACACCCATTTCAGTGCATACTTATTTACACGAGCAACTGGAATCAGACTGAGGAGTCTGGTATCCCCACTCCCCTCACACAGGGACTACATTTTTAGCTTCACTATAAACACCCTGCCCAGTACAGCAAGTGCTGTTAGTACATATTTATTAGGACCCTTTTCTCATACTCTGGACATTGACAAAAATATTAAACAAGTGTTCAGTTCCTCCCTATGGAACGCTGCCCTTGGCCATCTTCCACCCTGCTCCCCCTTTCAGTGCAAACTGCCTCTCCTTCCCAACCAGTCTCTGTTTGTAATTGGTCTGCTCATAAAATCTTCAAGTTACCAGAGACACTCACTGGCTGCCTCCTATTAAACTTCTCAAAAAGCACCCACACCCAGAGATACTGCGGGGCACGGTACGGCTGTGTATGCTTTGCAAGCAGCTGTGCTCACTCTGCTCATATCCAAAGCAAGTTCTGCTCAGAAAGCCCCGCAGCTTCACCAGGCAGCTCTGACTGTCAGCAGGGTATTCGTTTGCACACAGAAACTTCACCTGAACTTGCTGGTGTCCAAGTGACCTGAAGCACCAGGAAGCTGGCACGGGTCTCTGCAAAAATCTCTGCACAACTACTTGCAGTCCAGCTTCAGAAGCCTATACAGCCAGGCATAAATTTCATGGGAGTACTTAAAAATTCTTTAGGTAAGAGTCCAACCAGTGGCTGCAGACACCACTCAGGTTTCTACAGTAAAGATCTCCCCTGTGGTGGTGGACCAGAAGTCCTCCCAGGGCCTGAGAGGCTCAGATACACTCTGAGGTTCAAAGCTAATCCCCTTATAAAAAAGAAAGCGTCATCCTGGCGGAATTTCTTTTGCTAAACTTGCTTCACATTGTCTTTACATGCTCCTCTGAGTCCTTAGCTACTCTCTTACTCAAAAAACATTTCAAGCACTGCTCAGTGCTGAGGCAGCCAAGGGGCTCTCAGCTGCTCCAGCTACGCCATACCCCATCTTCCATAAACCCAGCTGCTACACTTGCTGTTCCTCAGTCTGGCAGCACCTTGCCAGACAGACAGATTTCCTTGCTACAGATCCTGTGATTTCATATGCCAGTTGCTTCAGAGCTGGAATCTGTTGGCTTGACTGCCCCTGAGGAGCAGAAGAGCCCAGTATCTCACCTTTCTCATCAGAGAGCCAGTTCAGCATTTATGTGGGTGCTGAAAACTACAGCAAAGCCCTAATGAAATTTGGTGGCTGCCTAATCTCCTTCACTAGCCACTCACCATAGCAGCCTGCTTGGCTTTCTGACCTGCCCCTCCTGCATCAGTTCTGCTCCTCCAGAGTCACAGAACAAACACCTCCAGCTTCACCATCTTCCCAAAAGCTAATGCTGTGCCAGAAGAACAGCACAGAGCCCTTCCTCTGGCAGAGGGGAGGAGAAACCTCCTCCTCTGTGCTGCTCCTTCAATTCACCACTGAATTCGCCCCTCCCCAAATACAGCCCCTAAGAAGCCCACCTGTACACGTGTGGAAGACCTTCCAGGGGAGCAGGACCATGTCCCCCCCAGGCTCACTTGCCCAGCCAGGCCCAGACATCCTTCTGCTCTGCCCAGGAGCTTCCCTGCAGACCGCTCACAGCTCTGCCATCATCTCTGGAGACCACGAGCCAGACCCAATGGCTTGGGCAAGTACCAAGCTGTTCTGGGCTATGGATGACAACCACTGTGCTCTTTCCAAGTGCTGCTCCAGGGCTGTAGCGCAAGTCTAAGGCTAGGCTAAATGCCCTGTGTATCGAGTGAACCGAGTGGGTGTGGAGAAGCATGTGGGGTCCCTGGCTTTCCCTGTTGCTGTTTCCCACCTGGTTGATGTGAACAGAAGGAATGGAGGCCGCAGAGACAGACGAATGGCTGGGTGAATTGGGCAGGGACTTGCAGGGGCCGATGGAAAGCTGCTGTTTCTTCCGTAGAGCCACCACCTTCTGAGCCACTGGAAGAAGGGAGAAAGGGACACGGTCAGAGTCCAGAAAGCAACTTTCTCCACCCATGGATTTCTAGAAGGGTTCAGTGAGACCCTTTCTCTGACTAATGCCAACATGTGAGGCTCAAACTGTGCCACCCTGTGTTAACAGGGAGGATTTCTGCAGAACACTCAAACTCGCAGTCCCCACTGCAACCCTGCTGCAAGGGACAGCATTTGCCTATGGCTGTTCCAGAAGGCAGCAGTGCAGGCTTCCCATGCTGAGCCCCCGAAGGCCACCCCCTTGGGTCTCACTCAGAGCATGTGGACACCAAGAAGCCATCCACAGCCCTGGGCTGCTACAGAAGAATCCCTGGGCAGACAGTCACATCTTGGGCACCCCTCAGAGCAGCTACAGGAGCCAGTTACTGAACTGAATAGCCTGGGCAATGCCATCTCCATCAGACTGGGGACCCTCATGATTTCCAGGTGCTAGAAAAACTAATGTGAGGAACAACTCTCCAAGTTTCTGTGACCTCATTGCCTGATGCCAACAGCCAAAAATTGCATTTCAGCCTTCCCAATCTCCTACCTTTTCTGGGAATAAACATCTTGAGCATGACAGCAAACAAGCTTGGCTGTTGGGGAATAAAACACATCACCATTCCTCATTTTCTCTTGCACACTGGCCAGGTCCCCCCCACCATCACAGGAGAAACCTTTCAGGTGAACATGACTGAAGGCACGGGGAACATCACACATCCAACCTGGCATGCCTCGTATTGCCATAAAGGAGCTGCCACATTCCCTTTCCAGAAAGACAGAAGATGTTGCACCACACATGTGGTATGACTGAACCCATTTGGAAAAGTCAGATGTCAACATTAACTGCAAAATCCTGCCACCTCACAGCCACAGTGTCACATCCCATACAGAGAGAGACAAAGTATTGGACCACAGCTGCTACCTGCTCACCTGATAAAGCCAGGAGGCCGTCCAGACTCCCAAGCTAAATATTAGTCCCATAAATAGAAGGAAGCCCTCCTACACTCACCAAACAGACTATATTAACCTGCTGGTTTTTCCTGCTCTCCTCCCCTCCACCCTCTCCTCTGACCAACTTCATCATTACCTGAATCACCTCTCCTTCAAACACTGGTCCGGCACATTGGGAGCCCAGGCACCCCAGGGGCCAGAAAGGATTCAGAAAAACTCCTCATCAACTGCTGTCCTGGGCAAAAGAGCCTGGCAGAGGCTCTACCTTGTCACTCACCCTGTAACACTAGTGGCAACAATGAAATTAATCATGAGGCCAGCTAGACCACACTGATTGCAGTAAAATCTCACCAACTCTTAAGCAAGGCATCTTGAGGTGGCCTTCGCAATTCTGCTTGCCAGGCAGAGGCTATTCCACTTCCTGAACATCAGCCAGACTTTTTCAAGGATAATTTCTGTCATCCCTTAAGCCAGTCTCTGGGATCATTTGCTTATCACGATTTCTTTGGTTGCCATATGCAGCTCTGTGATGTACAACCAACGAGCCCTGCCCTGTCCACAGAACCTCTGTCTGGATACATTGCTTGGCCTGTGTTTGCCACACATCACAGGCGGTGCTGCTGAGAGTACTAGCACTTGAGCATCACACAGTATTTTAAAGCGTACCACAGCACCCTGTCCTAGATGTTCTGGAGAAATCCCTCCACGGACACCACCAGGAATGGTCAGCTCTGGGAGGAGTATCTTGACAGAGAGGAAGAGCACATGAAGGTCCCCAGCAATGCACCAAGGACCCTATGGAAAACACCTTAGGGTGGGGAGGCACCTTATGGAGTTGCAGGACCTTGCACACACCCCTGCACACAAACTCTCAGTCTCTCCACTGAAATGCTCCTACCAAACCCTTCCTCAGAAGCATCAATCACTGTCCTGGAAGACATGGCAACGCTATTGATCACCTCGACAGCCAGGAACAAACTCACCCCCGAGCAGGAGGGGCACCCGCTGCTCAGCTGTTCCACTCAGGGTGCAGAAACCCAAACAACTGCCTAGGCAGGAGAGCCAGAACCACCCTTGGTCTTTCAAGCTGAAGTCCAAGTCTGCAGCCCAAGGACTGTGGGGGAACGATGGGAGAGCAGCAATATGGCCAGCATGTCAGCAGCAGGTTCTGGTGGCCATGAGAGGCTGCCTCACACCACAGGCTGTCCTCTCCGGTGGGCGGGCTGGTGGCAGGAGCGCTCACCCTGGACTTGCTGCAGAAGTGATGCTGGAGAAGTGACTTGCAGCATTGGGCAGCATGTCCCTCCTGTGCCCTTCCAGGATCGGGCCTGGGTCCTTCTTCAGGAACAATGCAGAGGTCATCACTGCCAAGGGGCTCTTGACAAGTTGCTCTCTAACCTCTGCCAGGTATAGAAATATCCTTAAAATGAGGTAACCCCACACCAATGGCTTCTTGCTATTGTCCTGGCATCCTCTCCACTCCACCACTCCAGAGCCAAGATATGTTCAGTGCCAGCCTCCCACCTCGCTGGGAGCTCTGCTGTTAGCGAGGGGACCACACCGACCCGACCCTCAGTGTGGGTTCACTCTTGGTGAAGTTCTGCAACTGCAGTTGGTGTCTGCCAGCCACTGGACACTGCAGTACGCAGCCCAGCCTGCGTCACTCTTCCTGCTTGTGCCAGGCTCCTCTCCTCGCGGTATCTGAAGCCACAGGCAGCCTGTCCCATCTTTTCACAGAAGCAGTTACTGTGACAACATCTGGTGCTGGAAGCAACTTGGAAAGGATGAGAGAAGTGCAGCTCCCACACAGCAAACAGTGTTTCCAAGGGGCATTTTGCCAGGCTGCATTTGAAAAACCAGCAAGAGAAAGTTACCCCTTTTCTGAATGCTATGCATCCTTTTCACAGTGACCTTCAGAAGCCTGACTGCCCAGAGAAAGCCCTCACCACTCTAAAAGATCCAACACAACTACAGTAGTATGTGGCCTAGATCCCTGCACAACATAACCACAAACAGCTTCGGCCCAAATACCCAGGAACTGCTCAAGGAATGGAGGAAGTGTCTCTGCTGCATCTGCCTGAGCAGGAAGGAGGGCACCACAAATGGTGGAGCCACCCAGTTCTTGAAGAACCTCAGAACAGTCAGTGAACGTGAAGATCTGTAGTTCTCCTTCTCAGAGCTTCTCCCCTGCACAGCAGCATGATGCGCAAACCATGGAGCATTTGCAGAGACAGCAGCTTGGGAAGAAAGAGTGCTAGCCTCAGTCTCCAACTGAGTACCAAGAGGACGGATGGTCGCTCCCACAAGCTGTCATGCTAGACCAGCATGACATTAACCTGCTGTCCAAAAAGGTCAGTGACTGCTTGTTTTTAGACAAGAGAGTGGCCTAAAAGGGCTCTCTGGGAACAGAGGTGCAGCTTATGCTCTGTACAGCATGGACAAGCAAGCAGACCTTGGCAATGAAAGCAAGGACCGCAGCTTAGTAAAGTCTTCCCATTGCTGCTGTGGAAAAACAACATCTCCTGCCTGCATGGGGCAGGTTTGCCATGATCTGAGTAAGATGAGGTCTGGCTGGAAAGTGAATCACCACACAGGGCGAGCTCCTCACACAATCCCTGACTGCCAGCACTCCACCAGATCCCAAGACAAATGCACTGGGGCACAGCAGCGCTCACTGGGAAAAGCAGCTTACCCACTCTGAAAACACCTCATCCTGTCAGGGCAGTTCACCTGGAACTGGATCCTGGAAGTCCATGAACAGCTCTCTGATGCCAATGATGTCTGGGGCCAGCGTGCTGGGCTCCGCTCTCCTCAGCTCCTCGCCAGCACCTCAGCAGCACCCGCATAGCACTGTGGTTGACCAGGCAGGTGAGAGCAGAGTACCTGGGATTTACTCCAGCTCTCCTACTAGATGGTGGGTCCCTCTGCTCCATCTGCAACCCCCAATTATGGCACTGCTTCCTCCAGAGCTCCCAGCAGCACACTCGGCCAGGGCGTGGATACCAGCAAAACTGCGCCAGCCGGCATGTGGCCTGGCATGCAGAGGCAGCTTGCTGCAGGAAATGCCCAGGAAACCACAGCAACGCAGACAGCTCCTGCATACACAGACTCAGAGACCAGAGGGATCTCTTTGTTTTCCAGGCTGACCTATGTATCCCACCAGCCAATAAACTTCACCCAGCCTACGCTGCACCAGCCATCCAGGTATGCAGCAAGTGTCTTCCACAAAGGGACTTGGTCTGGATTTGGTGAAAGTACAAGAGATGCAGAATACAGCACTTTCCTGTGCATTCCTTCCAACAGCTAATGAAAAGAGAGCTACTAAAAAAAAGTAGCAAGGTTTCCTCAAAATTTTTATTTTACTTAACTTTTTACTTAACACTTAGTAAGGATTAGTAAGGATTCTTTAAAATCTGATTTCGACTGGCTTTGTCTTAGTATCTGTGATTTTGTCCCCATGTAGAGACACTTATATTTTAGGTATGTGAGATGCTTATGTTTTAGTCAAGTCACCCCTCAATCATCTTTGATTTATTAAATGGATAAGCTCTTTTAGTCTCTCACTATAAGGTATTTTTTCCAGCCTTTGATTGAGTTTTACAGTTGAGGGGTTTTTTTTAATCTTATGATTTCTCTGGGTCTTTTTGACACCTGAGTTTGACAGCACCCAGCAATGGTCCTCCTGCTGCCCTGTACAAGAAGCAGAGGCCCTGTACAAGAAACAAGGCAAGAATCCACCCCGACTTCCACTCAGTGCTCTCCTGCTTACTCGCCCAGGGACAGCGTCAGCCCTCCTGGCAAGGCGGCCCATGCTCCTTGCTCCAGACAGCATCAGCATTTGCCCAGACTGACAGAGTTTTTGATTGAATAGTCTCTGATTCCCACACTCCTTGAGGTTTTCTGGATTTCCTCAGCCTCACTGCTCCTCACACAGACAAAACTGCTCCCTTGCATCCTTCCTGACCACACATACAGCCATGAGTAAGTCCAGACCAAAGATGAAGCACGGCACTTTGCAGGTGCTCACCCCTGAGCCTTATGCAGCAGCTCAAGGTCTCCCACCAAGCTTTGCTAAGCAGCACTGGTGCTAGAAGCTGAGTCCCAGTCTCACATGAGTGCTTTCATCTCACACATCGCACTGCTGAAAGTTGTGCTGTCTATGATCCCAGGGTCAACAAAGAGAAAAAAAATAACCACAGAGCACAATTCATTCCACCTTGAGACAAAAAAATCGAGAAGCAGCCTAGTAAACAGCAGCACCTTATTCTGCCGTGCCTCCCCAGTCCATTCCCAAACCCATCAGCTGCTAATCCTCAGCATAACATCCTTCGGAGAAGGGACACAGCAGAACCGATTTGAAGGAAGAAGCTGAACGAATCCGGTGACACAGTGCTAAATGCTTTCCAGAAGCTGGGATCAGCTGTGCACACAGTCCACCTGCTGCTGCTCTCTCCAGACGTGCCCTGCAAACTGCCAAGTCGGTTTAGCAGATCCTCCCCTTCCAGGTCTGCTGCAGTAGTCACTATCCTCAACTATTCCCAGCTGTTGCTCCCCACCATTCCTCCGTTACTCAGGAGGAGGAGAAAGAAGGGGAGACTTACAAACAACTCACGCAACAGAGTCGCCCCAGTTTCTCCAGGAATACTGAACCCACGCAGAGGCTGTGGAATGCTGAGGGGTTCCCTGCCTGGGCCAGTTTGGAAGGTTGCTCTTGGGGATGCCTTCTCAGACGGGGACCAGCAGCTGGAGAGGAAACATCTCTACATGCTTCAGCATCAGAAAAGCAGAACTCTGTGACCCTCAGCCCCATAACAGGAGATTACTGGAAGGTCACAGAGTAATGCAGGGGAAGGAAGATCACCAGCTCCAGCTTAGAAGATGAAGGAGGCACTTGAAGCTGATGACAGGCTCAGTCCTGCGTCTTGCCCTCAGCCCATCACATTGTGCTGCAAGGAACTAAATGGATTTTTGCCTTCAGGCAGTCCTGCTGCACTGTGATTTCCAAACTTTCTTCCAGGCACCCATTCCACTTGAAAACACTAACAGCACAGCTCTCCTCTCCAAAAGCAACTCTGTCCTGCCTGACCACTCTGCTCTGTGCAGACACATTAAACACAGATCCCCTGCTGCACTCCAGGTCGAGAAAGTGGACAGGGGAATATGCACTCCCATTAAAGGGGAGGGTCCCAGTTGATTTCAACAGACTACAAACTCCTAGGACATGGTGTAGGTTCCTTCTTCCACCTACAGCATCCCTGTCACGCAGACCCCTCTCCCAGTCTGAGCTGAAACGCTCACACACTGTTCCCGTGAGGAACAGCTGCCCCATTTGGCCACTCCGTTCCTGCTCCCCCACCTCCAGCACCCAAACGTTCTTCTGTGCTTCCTCCACGACAGGCAATCAAAACTGTCTCTGCAGCCTCCCGACTCCTCTGCAGGCTCATGTAACCGCTGTGCTGTGCAGGCCCGCCATGGGCACAAAACCATCCCCTGCAGCCTCTCTGCTCCCTGGAACACTCCCCTCCAAGGAAGGCAGGAAAAAGGCACTGCCCAGCCCTGCTCTGCGGTCCCTCATGCACATCCACATGCCACACACAAGAATCCTTCCACACCAGGCCAGGTCTCTGTCTGTAAAGCAACGGCACAGCACTCAAACGTGTGCCTAACTGCCTTGGCCTCACGCTGTTCTAACTGAGCCAGCGGTCTAGGTAGTGTAAACCCCTTTTGCTGCCCTATCTCGCCCAAACACCCTCCACTGGCTGCTGTTACCATCCTGGAAGACTCTCTCCACGTTCAGTCCGTAGGTGGCACAGGTCTCGTAGTACGTGCAGCGCTTCAAATCGTTGGAAAGCTTCCGCGCCCGAGAATCGTCAATGACCCGGGGGTTCGTGGCGCTGATGGCATCTGGAAACCAAAGGGAGAGAAGGTTACAAAGTAAGCGTCTGTGTTCCATCTATCCACATGTCCCAGGGCATGCTCCTGGCCTCCCTTCTTCCCTTCACACACTGAGATAGCCACCTTCATACTACACCCTCTCTCCTATAAATGCCTTAGATCACCAAGTCCCACGTTTGCGGAAAAATTGATTTGTTAAACAAGCCTTTTTAAATTAAGCAGTTTTAAAATGAACCTTACACAACTCTCCTAACTATCCAGCCACCGATGTTTCTGAAGACAGAGGGCAGAAACCAGTGGGAGGTGTGTCTGGCAAGGCAAGGCAGCCTCAGCTGCAACGTAAAATTGATTAGCCAGTCTCAATCATTTTAGGTCTCACAGCCATACTCTACATATTAAAGAATCAAAACGGAGAAATCATCCTCAGTTAACTGGGAAAGATGTCTCTGCTAGGATGTACTCACAGTTGAGGCCTTGGTGGACAACATTAAAAAAAAAGGCTTAATTTGTATCCCAGATGGCTGCCTTCCCAAGAGGAATCAGACCCCTTGAAGACATGCCAGGGACAAGCAGAGGCTGCAGATGAACCCTCTCAAGAGACAAAGGAGCACTGGGACTCACACAGTTAAGTCCTCCTTGAACTCTCCAGTAGGTTGTGTGACCATCCCAAGGCTGTGACCTCACCTGGCTCTAAGTCTGGGCCAACAACCATCACTGGCCCCTCTGCCAATCTTCCCTGCTCCTAAGCCTCCACAGCATGGGCCTGCAACCCCACCTCAGGCCTGAACCAAGATCACTCAGTCCTAAAATGAATTCCACAGTCTTTAAATATCCAGAGTTTAACAACTTTGTTCTACTCAATCTGGGGTGCAGAGCAGACACCCCTGTGACTCTCCTCCCGCTGTCACCACCTGTCTTCCCAGCCTCAGAGTTTATTCCTGGCCAGGAACGGGCTGCACTGCTCAGGAATTGGGTCCTGGCAAGACATTTTTTTCCTTGCATCTTCCACCCTCCTGCTCCTGCTCCCTGCTGTCACCCTTACAGTCAGACAACTTCTGCAGCCCCAGGCTACCTCCTGCCTGCACTTCACCATCTACGGGCAGGAAGGACACTTATTTCTTTAGAAGCAATGCTCTCGTTGCTGCCCCTCCCCAGGAACTCACAGCAAGGCTTTTGGAGACCAGGCTGCCTCCGACACATGTTGTGCCAGGCAGGAATCTGACTCAAGGGCTGCCCTCTCTCCCGACAGCCCCTCTCCATCGGCAGCTCCTTGCCCAGGCACTCCTGGGGTGCCCAGACGGAGCTCCAGGCGCTGCATCTCCTGTCTTCTCTGCTGCCTGCACCCAACAGCAGCCTCAGCTGTGGTTGTGACCCTTACAGCCTCCATCCCAGCCCCCAGACCTGCAGGGGAGAGGAGGGAGAGGGCAGTTCTGGGTTGCTGCTGCTCTTCCCCACATCCAGGTGCACTGGCAGCACCTCAGGGGAGACAGTGCTCCACAGCTCAGGCCTCTCCTCGGGGTGCTGAAAGCAAGTTGCCACCCCCCAAAACCTTGCCTGCTGCAGCTCACCCCCAGAGGATGAAGGGCAAGGCACCAGCAGAAAATCCTCCCGGCACCCAGGCCCTGACTCCTGCCTGCACCCAGCTGCTGCAGGCAGAACGGAAGAAGGCAGGCAACGCCAGAGGGTTTGGGCATTTTGAAGAGGAGAGTGGCTCCTAGAAATAAGGCATCTCTGCAGAAAAGCTGAGATGGTCTGAGAAGGAATTACTCCACTCCTCCAGGGCCGCAGATCCTCAGCATCATTCCGTGCCACAGACAGCTTACAGGCTGGGATCCCTGACACACTGGCAGGGCTAGCACCCCGCATTCTCTTGCCAGTGTGGACACATCACCGGCACTCCTGACCAAGGCAGGGAGGAAGCCCGGCCACCCCGCGCTCACCCTGCGTGCCCACCAGCACCATCGGCACCTCCGCTGTGTTCCGGTAGCTGCAGAGCCGCAGGTAGTAGTTGTAGACTGTCTGGAAGCTGATCTCGTCCTCCAGGCTGAACACAAACACCACAGCATCGACCCAGGCAGCAAACTGAGGGAGATACACCAGCTGTTACAGCCCAGACAAGCATCCCGGAGCCCCATGCCCAGCAAGGGCAGCCCCATGGCACGTGGAGCGCTGAGGCTGGTCTCAGCCCAGTGCATGCCCCAGGCCGTGCGGAACAAGCTCCCCAGCACCACGGGGAGGTCCTGGGGATGGCTCCTTCTCAGGCCTCACAGTCTTCATGTTCTCCCACAACCAGGCTCCCGAGAGGCAGCTGGGTCAGAGCCCTCCAATCTCTCTGGCAGGATGGGGTGGGAAGGGACCGCAGGAGGTACGGGCCTCCTACCTGAAGTTCGGGGGGACCCCCTTCATCTCGGATCAGCAGCAAGTAACTCTGACCATCCACTACGATCTCCTTCTTAAATCTGCCACCTTGGGAAGAGAGCAAAGCAGCAGGTCAGGTGTGTGGCAGGCAGCAAGCAGAGGAAACCCCTAATGGAGGTCAAGGGAGGCTGCAGAGCCCTGCGGCAGTGGCGGATGAGTACAGAGACAGGGGTCGCCTTTGAAGCCAGGGAGACCACCCCCTGGAGCCCTGGGAACCAGACCTTACCCTCTGGAGACTCCTCCTGCACGTAGGTGCCAGTCAGGTAGCGGTGCACAAGGGCCGACTTGCCACTGGACAGGTTCCCCACAATGCCCTGAAACAGAGGCGCATGTCACCCACCGCCCGCATGTTTCCCTTGACATGAAGCTGCCCCTGCGAGGCCACAGCACCGGTTACTGGCAGCGGAGACAGTCACGGGAGGGCACAGGGGATGGCACAACCCAGCTGGTACTCGGTGAGAAGCCTGGAGGCATTCACTGGTCTCCGTCAGGCAAACAGCAGCAGGTACTGGGGCACAGCTGCCCAGACGGAGGGCAGTGAGAACCCTTGCTCTACCCCAAACAGGCGCAACCCCATCGTTAGCTCTTCCCACAGCCCTCCTGCTCCTCAGGGGGATACCTCCCAAGCCACAGTCAACTCAGAAGGAGAAAAAAAAACCCCTCTTTTCCCAGCCCATGCACCCCAAATTTGGGGGTATTACAGCTCTCAACAGCACCTGCCACATGAGGATGAGAGCAGAGACTGGCCACGCGTTTGGTACAGCTGCTGCTTCCGACACCAGCAGCAAGGCAGAGCACCTGCTCCTTGCTGCAGCAGCGACGCTGCTATAGTGGAGTGCACATTTCCCGGCGGAGCTGGCTGTGCTGCCCACGCAGAAAGACACCCAGCACCAATTCTAAACTGAGTTGAAAAATAAAGATACTTAGCACTGATTTTTAACTGGGTTGAAACGTGCTAGGCTGAGGGGTCTGTCAGTTTTGGAACATGCTAAAAATTTGCAACAAAACAAATGTAGCTGTCCCAGGATGGGTCAGCCAGAAAACCCAGTTTTCCCTAATGTAATCATTTTCCTGCAGGTTTAAAAACCTCCAGGGCTTGCAAGTGGCCCTGCCTGCTGATGGGAGGGCAGTCCTGGAGTAAAGGGGCATCTTCTGCCATCCTGGCAAAAAAACTAGTTCCAACTGGTGAGCTTACATCCCAGCTATCCTCCACATCCACCAGGACGACGCGGCTTGTGGAGCAGGCTCGTGCAGTACTGAGCATCCCACTCTGTACCCCTCCAGCCTCAGCTGTGCATTGCTCTGGCAGAGCTGGAGTAGAAATGCCAGCGCGATGCAGAGGTGCCTCTCACCCACAGCGTGCTCTTCTACCTCCTCCCCATGCCCCAGGAGCCAGAAACACCATTTCTAACCCACTTCTTACCCAGGCTTGTTCACCTCCAAACTCTGGCTAGTAAAGAAGGTGGGCAAGCTCTTACCACACTTTTGAAGGCATCCGCCTTCTCCATCCTCAAGATTAATCAGGATGCACTGTGGGGACTTGCTGTTTCACCGGGATTTAAGATGTCTGGCACATCTACCAGACAGAAGACATCCCTGTGCAGGCCTCCCAACAGAGACACTGCACTTCTGGAAAATCCAAAATCCCCTGCACGTTCACAGCTGCTTCACAGCAAACGCACAGGGATACCAAAGCCTTTGGCAGAGCGCTGCTGACCTCACACCCTTCCTAAACCCACCACTGGACCAGTCCACGAGATTCACTGGACATGTGCTGAGTACTCGCACTGGCTGGAAATGCCAGAGTCTCCGTGGAGGTGCTTGCACAGACCCACTGAGTGTTATTTCTGCACAGGGAGTGCCAGGCAGAAGTACGGTAACTTTGCAACGAAAATTTCAAGCAGGCACACAGCACTGAAAAGCGTTCATGAAAACAGCATGTATCCACAGGGCCCAGCCCCACTGCAGCCACCCTGCACTGCACCCCCGACACCGTCTGTGCAACGGTGGAGCAAAAGGAATTGAGAAGCGGCGATCCAGCCCAACGCTCGTTTGCAGCACTGTTTTCCAATCTGCGTGTCTGCAGTACAGCCGCACACACAGCCCCACCAGCACCGAAAGACGTGTGGGATGAGGAGACAGAAGAGGCTGGAAACATTAAAGCTGCCTCTGCCATCAAAGAAAAGTTTATGGTGGATCTTTTCCAGGCAAAGGGAAGAGCTCGGTGAGTGAGTCACCACCAGGCAGGTTCTCCAGCTATCAGCTGGGTGCTCGAAAGCTCCCGCTGCACCGGGTCTTGCCCCAGGCTGCCTACACACTCCTGGTGGGAGGCAAAGAGGCAGCAGCCCCACAGCAGCAACCATTCAGCAGAAAACCTGTCTGGTCCGCTGGCACCTTTTGTGCCCACGCCACACAGAGCCAGCGAGCAGCGGGACCGGGGCAACCAGGAGCCCAGGACTAGGAAGTGCAGATCAACGTGCTCCCATGGGCATGCCCAGGCCGAACGCATCGCTGCCAGGCCTGTCACCCACAACGATAATTACAAATCATACGCAGCGCGTTTAGACAGATGAAAACATGTACCAGACTGCAAACCTCACAGGTAATGCACACGTGCTTCTGGAGCCAAGCGATCTACCGCGACGTAAGGACTACACGAACACTGTGGCCTGTGTTCCGAACGAAGGTGACACTCTGTCACGCTCTGGCTGAGCCCTCCCCACTGCTGCCGTGCTTCGATGGTGGCGTGAGCAGTCTGGGATATAAAAAGGTGGAGACACAGAAAAAAACTGTGGAGTCCAGTGTGCGGAGCGGGCAGCTCAGCTCTGTGCCCAGGCTAGCCGCAGCTCTGGTCTCTGGAGAAAAGGCAAAACAGAGCGGCTCCCCAAGGCCGCCTGGCAGCTAGAGATTCAACACTTCAATAATATTTAGCTCTCTAAAATTTGGATGGAGGCCGCATTTTGTTTGCATCCAACCAAAATCCTGACCTACGCCTTGTTGAAATACGCTTCTGCTTTGTATCATCCTCATCTGGGGCTGTAAACCAGGTCGCACAGTACCGGCAGTCTTGGGGAACACAACCTCTTAGGGGCAGAAAACCGAAATCAAAGGTTGTGTGTAGGCATCATGGAAAACTCTGTCTCAATACTGGGAGCACGAGGGCCTGCAGTCTGTCTCTGTGCTGGCCAGAGAAGGGCTGGTATTGCCCAGTGTTGGGTCTGGGGGACAAGTCCCTGCCACAGGCATCATTTTTGTTTTTCCCGCAGGGAAGGCAAGGTTTGCAGAAACTGCTGCCTTCTCCCAGACAGACTCCTCTCAGCCTGTAGCAGATGGAGGAAGCTCCAGGATAAAACTGAGGTGGGAAAAACTACTGAGCATAACTTAAATACATCAAGCTATTAAAAAACCTTACAGAAAGTACACTGACCGCTTGTGGTGCAAATGGGAACAGGAGCAGGGAAGAAAGCAGTAAGATCCTTACCTCCTGCAGGAGGGGTAAGGGAAACAGTTCACTGACACAGAAGGAGGGACATGGCCTGATGTCAAACCTTTATGTGTCATGAAACAGAAGCCCCCCCCCACCAAGTGTGTGGCTTTCCTTACAAGCAGAATTATGAATCTTGATTCACAGGGACAAGGATTGGCAGATCAGAGACAAGAGTGGGTGCTTCGTGCAAGCCTCTCCCATCACAGTGTGTTCTGCCATTTTTCAAGACACTGCCTTTGCCCTGCCAAAAGACTAGGATGCCTTTTGGTTTCAGACACATTTTTCACTGGGGCTTGTGGTGCACTCAGTGAAGCATCGCAGCAGCAGGACCGAGGACCAAAGACCAATCTCTGCAGAGACCTGGGGAGAAGAGCTGGGCCTAGCAACAGCCAGGGACAGCAAGACAGGAGCCGAGGGCAAAGCAGCACTGTGGCACTGGCACATCCCCAGGGCAGCCAGGGCCACAGCAGCACCGAGCAGGACAGACACCTCAGACACACACCTGAAAGCTCAGGACCTGCCCGGCTTTCCTCATCCTCACTGACTGCCAGCCCAGACCCAGCAGTGTGCCCAGATGGCCAAGAAGGCCAGTAGTATCCTGGCTTGGATCAGAAATAGCGTGGCCAGCAGGGACAGGGAAGGGATCTGACCCCTGTACTCGGCACTGGTGAGGCCGCACCTCGATGACTTGTGTTCAGTTTTGGGCCCCTCACTAAGAAAAGGACATTGAATGACTCGAGCGTGTCCAGAGAAGGGCAACGGAGCTGGTACAGGGTCTGGAGCACAGGTCTGATGGGGAGCGGCTGAGAGAACTGGGGAGGTTTAGTCTGGTGAAGAGGAGGCTGAGGGGAGACCTCATCGCCCTTTACAGCTCCCTGAAAGGAGGGTGCAGAGACCTGGGGATGAGTCTCTTGAACCAAGGAAAAAGCAACAGGACAAGAGGGAATGGCCTCAAGCTGCACCAGGGCAGGGTTAGACTGGCTATTAGAAAGTATTTCTTTGCAGAAGGGGTTGTTGGGGGTTGGAACAGGCTGCCCAGGGCAGGGGGGGAGTCCCCATCCCTGGAGGGGTTGAAGAGTTGGGTTGACCCAGCGCTGAGGGATCTGGTGGAGTTGAGAACGGTCAGTGCGAGGTTAACGGTTGGACTGTTTGATCCAAACTAGATCATTCTGTGATTCTGTGGAGCAGCTCTGCCACCACGCGATATCATTCCCTTCACAGCTGCAGAAAGAAGAAATCCCAGACGACCACCCCAACACCTAGAGGTCTGTCTGCCTAAGCACAGGGTACCCCCAAGTTGGCTGTTGCAACCTAACCCCAGAGATGTGACAGAAAGGGCTTCAGGCCAGCAAGGCCAGGACTGAACCAGGACTCTGGAAGGCCTCCAGGCTTTTAGGAAGAGTTGCATCAGCCAGATGAAACCCCGGAGCAACAGAGATCCCTGGAGGTCATGGAAAACATGGGAAAAGGTTTGTGTTAACTGAGGAAGAACTAAAAGCTTTAGGTTTGTTTAGCTTGCAGCGCTGTTCCGCAGCCTGCAGATTGTTAAAATGTCAGAAGGCAATACACAGAATAGCTGCAAGAATATTTTCAAACACACATTTTACTAGCCAAACAAAGAAATTAATATTCAAAGTTTGTTTTAATTTTTACTTAACTGCAGGTAAGAAAAATGTGGCATCATGGTATTGGTATGTTTTGCAAAAAGTCTTCTTGTTTCTCAGATTAAGATTGAAAAAAACCAATCTTGAAAGGGCTGAAGGGAGACACACCAATAGTCTTCAATTGAGTTACGGGCTGCCACGGAGAGCACAAGAGCAGCGGAACAGTGAAACGGATGGCCGAGGTCCCTGAGAACAGCCAGCCAGACACTCGGAAGCGTCTGCGGCATCCTGCCTGCCCCGACATCCCTTCCAGTGCCACCCCAGTGCTCGCAGCACAGCTGCTGAGGGTGCCTTTCCGTGAACGCCCCAACCAGCCCACGAGCTCATTGCCACCACCAAGAAAGTCCCACTTTGTCACTCACCCCAGGAGTGGCTTCTGCTCCTCGTGCTCACCAGCCAGCTCGGCTTGAGCTGAATACCCTGTGTCCTCCTGCACCACTGACACGCACTGGTTCACAACTGCCCCAGCAAGCCGGTGCACAGCCATCAGTGACAGCAGGCTACGGGAAACATCTTCTGTCTCAGAGGTGATGAAGCCTGGTAACAGTGTGCCCTGGGAAACCTGCCCTGCGCCTACAACTAGAGGAGCTTCATCCCCTCTGTTTGGCTGAACAAAGCCAGAAGGGACAGGTCTTTTTGACCTTCACATCCAAGTGCTATGACAGCATAGCCCTGGCCTTCCCCCAGCATGTTGTCAGCCCCAGCTTCTCTCTCCCCTCCATGAGGCTGAAGCCCCTATACATTTCTAGCCAGTCACATTAAAAGAACGGGTTTTCTTGGGGATTTGGAAAAGCACCAGAGACCCAGGGGTATTGGAGGCACAAGCCACGAGTACTCACCACCTTCAGCTCAGGCACCGAGCGACTCAGGGTCCATTCCTGGCTGTTCACAAACGAATCTGCAGAACAGAGAGAAGAAATCATCAGTCACCATGGTGTCCCTCGAGATTCTAACAAGGATCCTGCCACACGATTCCTGCTCCCTCCAGGCAGGAGATTTATGGCTCTTCCCTCCCTTTCACCTCATCTAAAGAGACACAAAGCTGCAGGAGGGCATGACACTGCCCATGCCCAGGTCTGCAGCCAGAGCTCCAGATAGGAAGAAGCGGTTGAGCTGAGGGCAGCAAAGCAGCACAGAGCCCACACAGTGCAGGCTGGAGACCCTCCTTCCTGCCCTGACAAAATGCCCTACAGCAATCCCCACATGTAAGCACCACAGACTAGACACTTTTTTGGGGGGCGCATGCTATAAAGGACCCCAGAATTGAGGGCATGTAGTGGCAAAAGAAGTGGCCTAAGCACTGCAGTCAGGCTACAACAGCAGCATGTCGTACACAGTGCAGATAAAGAGTTGAAGGCACACTATAATCTATGTTCATGATTGAAAGTGAACACAATTAATTATGTGCACATTATGTAATTTGCAGAACATTGTACTAGGCTTAAGAAGGATGTAACAATCAGACACGGCTTTGAGCAGCACAGGAAACACCCTCTCTCCTGCCACAGAAACGACAAAAGCTTCATTTACATCCAAACAATTTCCAGAAGTGGATCAAACAACAGACTTCCCAAATAAAACCAGGCTCACCGGAGGAGGAGCAAGAACAAGAGCACACCTTGAATATCAGAAGTAGCCACTCCTAACAAAACCAGAGTTCTTCATTTGCCTTGGACAAGGAAGTACAACCTCCACCCAAAGCCAGATGGCTACAGGGTAGTGGGCTGAAACAAAAGAGCAGCACTTGCTATATGTTAATAGCATAAAAATAATAAAGGATTTTTGGAGACCGGAAACCTGTGGGAGCACTGATTTCTCAAGAACCTGTAATAAACTTGTCAAATTTGCTGCCACAGACCGTTGCAGAAATGGAAATCTCAGACGGGTTCAAAAAGGGAAGAGGCGGCTCCATGAGACCCAATGGTGGGTAGAGACTGAACATGCTGGCCTGGGCCCCGCCGCTGCTCAGCTGTCATCCCAGGCCACGGTGGGATGCCAGGCCGAAGGAGGGGGTGGCCCTAGCCCTGACCCTGAGACAGCCACTGGTGCAGGAGCTGCGAGCTGCCCTTCCCACCCCAGCAGCTGCTCCCAGCAGCCCCAGCCAAACCCACTACCACACCAACACTGGCGGCGGTGCAAGTCTCAGCTCTCACTCTGCACTGGCACTGCCCAAACCAGCCCAGCAGGCTGGCGGCCGCAGGTCTCTGCTGAGTAGGTGCTTCCTCTGGGGCCGCGCCAAGCACCACAGGCTGAAACCGGGGCAGCATAGGAGATGCCACCAGACCTTAGCAGGATCAGAGGGCAACGTCAGGCTCTCCAGCCCTGCCAGAAGCCAATCAATGACCATCCTCACTCCAGTTTATGTTCCTGGTCTCCTAATGCCCGAAGGAAGGCTAGACACACAATGGTTGCAACCTTTCCTCCATCTCCTGGTCTCATCTCTCCCCATCTCACCCAGGCAAGTGGTGGGAGATGCGCAGCCCAAGCGCGTGGGGAAGAGCCTGCTCCTGCTGCTTGTGGCCAGAGGGCTTGCAGGGGCCCTGCCCTTTGTGCCTGAATGTCCACACACTGTTCCATCACTGCTCGCCATGCATGAGGGGAAGAACAGATGATCCCCCACCGTGCCATTATCATGGCACCCGGTGCAACCATTGGCACCTGCAGGCCACAGAACATTTTTCCACTGTCAAAAAAAGATAAGAATACGGTTCTCACACCTAGGGTTTACCATTCATACACTAATTTAGTAACACTTCTTTTCCAGATGCTACAGACAAATAAAACTCAAGTCTGATGCAGTAACACAAAGCTATTTATAAGTATCAAACAGGTTCTTGAGAGAAACCATTTCACCATGGTCTCTATCTTTCACCTATCCTTTGTTTTTTTAGGCAGAGGTAAAATCTTTATTAAAACTAGTAAATTAGGAGAAAAATGATAATTTCTTCAGGTAACGGCACATCTGTATTTCCAACTGCATTACTTGGTTTAAAAAAAAGCTATCACCTCCACCTATAACTTCTGCTCTGATTAGTCTCCTTGACAATTAACTGTGATGGTTAAATCACCATCAGTACTTTCTCCTTTACTGGCATTCCCTCCCTCCAGATTAGATGAGGCAGAATACTTGCACTGTTTCGTTTTATATACCTTGTTCTTGAACTACAAAAACCTGGCAAAAACAGAGCAGGTTTTTCAAGAGGTTCTGAGTGGAGCACAAGGTAAATGCGCTTGCTGACTTGGCCTTAAGAAAGAAAAGAGAGGCAGAGAGAGGCCTGGAGAGGGCAGGCTGTACTCTTCTCTTTCTGTTCTCAAATGCTCAGGATAGAGAAACTGTCCAAATTTTTGCTAGTTGCCCCCTTTGCTAATCATTCTAACAGACCTTTGTTTTTTAACCAAGGTTCAGGAGTTCATTAGCAATAGTTTGACTTTTTACTTGCTGTGAAGGCCTCTGAGTAAATCTTAACACAAATAACTGTGACACAATGCCAGTTTAACTACATCCAGCCATCCAACACATTAAATTATTAACCATCATTAGTGTGCTTAACGTACAACCCGCGCACCTCCGCTTATCAACCAGCTCCCAACATGTGCCGAGTCTGAATTTTAGCCCAGGCTACCAGCCAGCCCTGGCGACGGGCCTGGCACCATCAGGCCGGGATCCCAGGGGCAAACCCCCGCGCCTGACACAGCCCCGCTGTGCAAGGAGCGGGACGGAACTGCTGGCACCACACGGCAGTGGGGAGGACGTGCTTGGCAGTGCCCGCTGACTCACGCACACTGCTCTCGGCTGCGCCGTGCCCCAACTCGCAGCAGCCATTGTCACCCCCAAGCTCACACGCTGCAGTCTGGCATCAACACTGGCCTAAGCGGGGTTAGGCCCTGCCTGCCCGGCCCCGCTCACCATCCCCAGACCGTGGCTGCTTTCTGGCTGCAGACAGGGGGACGGGGCTGTCCCCACTGCAGGGCAGGGAGCAGGGCTCACCCGAGCGCAGGACATGGCTCGCAGCAGGGACTGCCGGGCACCTGTAGCTCACACCACCGGGAAATCCACTCGCCACTGCAGCTTGGCACCTGATCTGGTGCCCTCCTGCCCCTTCCAAGGGGCCGTGTCCCCTCCCCGGGGGTGCTGGGGGCTACTTCTCGCCAGCAGCAGCTTCTGGCAAGTGCAGGAGGTAGAGGCATGAGGCTGCCCAACATTGTTACCTGAAAATGGCCACCTGGACTCAGACCGAGGGTCTGCCCAGCCTGGCACACCATCTCCAGCACCAGTTAGTTCCTGAGAACCCAGGAAGAGAAGGAACGTGATGACAGTAGAGGATACTGACTCCACCTGTGTTTGCAGCTGCTGACTTCAACTCAGGGATCTCCTGTGCTTTGTCTATTTAGTAAACCTCAAAATGCTCTCCTTTTTCTGCCTCCTTTTAAAACCACAAAAAATTTCACTTCCACATCATTCTGTAGTTTCAGCAGTGTAAGTACCCATTTCTTGAAAACACACTTTCTTCTGTTTTAGGCTTGGCTTCGCTGGATGTCCCTGTACCAGTGGCAGTGAGCTAACATCCCTGGCCAGCCTGACCAGCACCGCCAGCTCCAACACACTGAAAGTGCATCTTTCATTGCAACCCCGCCTTTCCTCCCCTTCTTAGTCTGGAGGAAGCTGAGGGGAGACCTCATCACCCTCTACAACTACCTGAAAGGAGGGTGCAGAGAGCTGGGGATGAGTCTCTTGAATCAAGGAACAAGCAACAGGACAAGAGGGAATGGCCTCAAGCTACACCAGGGCAGGGTTAGACTGGCTCTTAGGAAGCATTTCTTTGCAGAAGGGGTTGTTGGGCATTGGAATGGGCTGCCCAGGGCAGGGGTGGAGGGGTTTAAGAGTTGGGTTGACCCAGCGCTGAGGGATCTGGTGGAGTTGAGAACAGTCAGTGTGAGGTTCATGGTTGGACTAGAGGGTCTTTAAGGTCTTCTCCAACCAAGATAATTCTGTGATTCCACCATGCAGCATCCCAGCTGTTGGATCACTCCTTGTCCAGCAGCTGTTGTGCGTTTTCTGCCCCCTCTGCTGTCCTCCTCCAGTACCTCCTGTTTCGAGGAAGAGGACACATCCACTGCACGCACTGCTGTGTGAAGCATCTCACCTGCAACAGGTGGAAGACAGATGGCTGTAGTGCAAGGTCCCAGTGACTGACCCCGTCCAGACTGCCCAGCTGCTTTACTACAGGAGAGCCAGCTGTAACGATAAGGTGCTCTACCCACAGCGTTTTGGGGTCAAGATACCCCCCAGAGGTACAGATTAACCCACTCTCATTCCATACCCTGGATGGTAAAAGCAAGAGCTTACAGACTATGTGACCAAAGGAACAGAGACTAAGGTGGAAGTGGCCTTGAACTGAAGACAGCCACGGGATTCCTTCACAATTGCCGGGAAAAGTTACTGAGACACAGATCTTGGAGGGCCAGTCCCCTCTGTGGCCCCCTCCAGAGCCAAGCACCTCAGCATCAGGATCAGAAGACCCTCATGTCCACCCGCGATCCCAGACCGTACCCATACACACAAACCCTTCCGCTACTGAACTCCTACGTGAACAAAAGCACCTCTCGTTCAGGAGGGACATCCCACCCCAACTTTAAACTGCCCACTCGCCCTCCATCCTGCCCCATCAGCTGAGTGGGTGCAGCTGCTCAAAGCAGAGAAGTGAGGTGAGGAGGCCGCGCATGTCTGCGCACCAGGATAGGCACGCGTCCTCTGCCTGCACCTTGTGGCATGCCTGGGAAGCTTCCCTGCTTCTGCCAGAGTGCAGCAGGAGTGTCACGGTGTCCCACAGAATGGCCTCCAATGCCACTTCACAGAACACCCAGCTTGTCACGTGCAGAAGAACGGCAGCTACCAAG